GTAAGGAGCGAGGGGTCCCAGACTGTGAGAGGGCACAGGCCGGGCTGAGGGATTCCCCCCACCCCCAGTGCACGAATTTCGTGCAACGGGCCTCTAGTCCTATATAATAAAAACCTAATATGCAAATCAACTGAATGGCAGAAAGACTGGTCGTTATGGCACACACTGACCACCAGGGGGCAGACACTCAACACAGGAGCTGCCCCCAGCCCGCAGACCCCAGGCCAGCCAAGGCGGGTGCCAGCAGAGGCCTGCTGATCACCCCGCCAGTCGCCCCGCAGAGGAAGGCAACCAGCAGCGGCAGCAGGGGGTGAGGCTGGCAAGCGGTCGGTGCCAGGCTGGCCAAGGTGGGTGTCAGCAGGAAGGCCCCCCGATCACCCTACCAGTCACCCCACAGAGGGAGGTGACAGGTGGCAGCAGCAGAGGCTGGGCCAGCGAGCGGGTAGCGCCAGGCTAGCCAAGGCAGGTGCCAGTGGGGGTCCCCCCAACCACCCCGCCGGTCGCCCCACAGATCAGCCCTGATCACCGGCCAGGCATAGGGACCCTACCTATGCATGAATTTCATGCATTGGGCCTCTAGTAGAATTATAAAGTAATAATAACTGAAATGAAGAACTAAATAGGTTGGTTTAACAACAAATTAGACATAATAGAAGGAAAAAATAGTGAACTGGAAGATTAGTAGAAAAGAACTTAATGAAAACAGAGATATAAAAGTTTAGAAAATATAGACAAAGGTGTGAGAGGCATATGGGACTCAGTGAAAAGGTTTCACATATGTGTAGTTGAAGTCCCAGAAAGAAAAGGAGAAGGAATATTGGGGGGCAAAAGCAATGTTTTAAAAGATACTGGCTAAGAGTTTCCCCAAACTATTTGTTTATCTAGAGGATTGTCAATTTTAATGATCTCTTCAAAGAACTAGATTTCTGTTTCATTGATTTTTCTCTATTTCTGCTTTCAATTTCATTGATTTGTGCTTTATTTTTATTATTTCCTTCCTTATGCTTGCTTTGGGCTTATTTTGCTCTTTTTCTAGTTTATTAAGGTGAAGCTTAGATTACTGATTTCCACATTGGCTTTTAAGTTTCTTTCTGGATATATATATATACACATATATATACACACACACACACGCACACACACACACACACACACATACATACACACACACACACATACATATCCATTCCTATTCAGACTACAATTCACACTTTCCTATAACAGTATTAATTTCAGGCACAGGAAATTTTACAGAAAAAATAATTTGTTATTTTGTAAAGAACATCTTGAATACTAGTATTGGAAACTAAGCACACTATTTTCTTAATAGTTGGTTTTCTGATTAGATTGACTCAGATGATATTGATAGCATCAGTTCATTGCTAACTAAATACACCTTAAAATATTGTTTAAGGTCAATGAGATTGAATTTAATTTTGTATTATTAATTTCTTCTTCTTAGGCAGTTACATAGATTTTCACCTATTATAATGGTTTGATATTTTATATTTAAAAATATCTTTCTTGCAACAGTGGAATGAGTCTAATCTAACAGTTATGATACAAGGTTTGTTTTATAGTCAATCCCTTAATTTATACCTAGACCAATATCTCATTGTATATATTATCAGTAGAGAAAGCATTTCATATTTGCAGGATACCAACCTGCAAATTTATGCACATTTGATGATTTTCAAAATTATTTTCTTAGGAAACATAACTTTTGAAACAATGATGGAAATTCTCCGAGATAAACCAAGTGGCATTAATATGGAGGGAGAATTCCTGACCACTGCAAGCATGGTTTCTATTTTACCTCAAGATTCCAACTTTCCTTGCATTCACTTCTTTACTGGGACTCCTGATCCTGAGAGGTAAAGTCACAAAAATACTATAAACCAGCAAGGGGTAAGGGGGTAGGGTAGAATCTTTAGTCTGTTGATTATTTTGTGAGGCTTCCTCTTCTTCTTCTTTTTTTTTTTTAATACACAAATATACAAATAATTTTTGGATGCATTTCAGTTCAAGTTTTCGTCCGCCATTTCCATATGTGCATAAATGCCATAATTGTTCTCATTTTTGTTGGAAAAAATGTTAATAGTTTCTTGTATACAGTCATCCCTACATCCTCTTTCCCCAAGTATACTTAACATTGTCAAGAAAAGAGAGTAGAAAGGTTTTCTTATGCAGATTTCAGTATTATAATATTAGATGGTTAAGAGTTAATAAAAAAAGTAAACGATGTAGTGTGCTGGACTTAGATGGTTGCTTATGAACTCATATCTAGAAAATACATTCATGTAAAACTTAATATATCAACAGTTCAAGTTTAGAAGGATTTGTATAGACTAAATTGATTTAAGTCATTAGTATCTCTCACAAAACTTAATATAAATTACATTTAGAAATGATCTTATATTCACGATCTTTCAGTGTTACAGTCTTTCATATTATTAAAGATATTTTCAAGAAAAATCTGTGAACCCCTTATTAATAATGCTGCTAATTTTCATCCAAAATCTTAATCCTCAATCTGTAACATTGAGAATTGTTCTTACCCTCTGATGAACTATAATTTTATTTGACACTGTTTACATGCCAGGCATTTTGTTAAACTCATGGGAATACAAGGCTAAATAAACTCCGTTCCCTGCCCCAAAGGAGATCCCAGTATACCAGGGAAGACAGCATGGCTGCAACTAGTATGACGGAAACTCATTAGTATGTAACAAGTTAATAGAAACATCTAAGTAGAGGGAACCTTACAAGATTTAGAATAATGTTGAATATTTTTAAATTCCCCATGTGACAATTTAATAAAATATTTTTTCTTCTAGATCTGTTTTTAAGCCTTTCATATTTGTGCCAAATATTTCACAACTACTGGACACCAGTTCACCAACATTTGAATTTGAAGACCCAGTTAAAAAGAAGCCACATTTTAAGACTAAACCTGACAGAAGACACCCACTCTACCAAGAGCATCAACAGGCATTGAAAGTAATAGATAACAAGGAGGTATGATTAGATTATGTTCTATGTTTTATCATTACAAATAGTTTAAAATATGAATCAATCCATATTTTGTCTTTTTAAAAATATTTTTATTGATTTCAGAGAGGAAGGGAGAGGGAGAGAGAGATAGAAACACCAATGATGAGAATTGTTGATCAGCTGCCTCCTGCATACCCACTACTGGGGATTGAACCCGCAACTTGGGCATGTGCCCTCACCAGGAATCAAACCATGACCTCCTGGTTCATGGGTCGACGCTCAACCACTGAGCCACATCAGCTGGGCAATCAATCCATATTTTGAATTTTAGTTTTCTTTCCCTCCTTCATATACAAACAGGTTTAAAAATAGTTTAGATGCTTTGACTATGGTAGAGCTCTACTATTTTGTATCTTTGGTTAAAAATAATGATTAAGAATATGTTGTGAATCTTTTAGAGAGATGTAGCATATTAAACATAATATCAATAGCTACTTGTTATTGAGCACTATTATACACCAAGCACCATAGTACTATTACATGGAATATTTCATTTAACCTTCACAGCCTCTTTGTGAGGTAGGAACTATTATTATCTCCATTTTACTGAGAAGGAATCTAAGACTTCAAGAGAGTTTAAGTAGCTTGCTTATTATATACCTCACACCCAAAATTACAAAGCCACTGGAGGGCAGTTAACCTGGACTCTTATATAATGTTCTTAAGCATACAGATTCAGATTAATTTTAATTGAAAGTGCTTTAAGACCTCATCGACTTAAAATAATAATAATTAATTGGAGCTTTTAAAAAATAATAAATGCTTATTATTTTAAAATGTAAGCATATTATAGAAGACTATAGAAGATTAAAATATCACCACAATCTTATCTTCAGAAATAAGCAAATGTATTTTTGGGGGGCAGATAGATAGATGGATAGATAAATAATTTTATATCCATATCTCTTTTGCCCTCTTCTCTCTCCTCCTCAGAGATTAAAAAAAAAAAAAAATTAGAAGGAAATGGAAGGACTGCCTAAAGGCTTTTAACAGATTCCCTGCTATGAAGGAAAAGATTCTCCCATTTTATACATTTTCTCACCTGTTTTCACCAACTCCTCATTTTTATTGCCTATAATTCCTATAATTGCCTATAATTTATCAAGGTATATGTATTTATATTCTATCTACATTAAATGAATTAAATGCTTTTCCTTTTATTTTTTTATTTACTTTTGTCTGTAGCATGTTTGCAGAGTTGCCATGCCTCTCCCTGCCACCCCCATCTTGCTTATGCTTAAAGCAGAGACCTTCTGTTTGCTCTATCTGGGCCCAGTTTGTTTTCACTTCTGACCTACAGTGTAAACAATTTTTGTAACCTGGTGGCATGGAGTGAAAGGCAAGCATTTTGTTCTAGAAGTCCACTGTGTGCTAACTAGGGCCCAGTCCACTGGGCCAGAGGTGTCATCCACTCCCTGGGCCTGGTTTACTGTCCAGACTCAACACAGCACTGTGAAATATGATAAGTCCTCTGGTTTTTCTTGCCTATACTCCCGTTCCTCAGTGATATGTTTCAAAAGTGTCAGCTCTGGAGGGATTTCCCTTCACTCCTCCTCCCCAGCAGCCTCCTCATTGCCCAAATCGCTTTTGTTAGTTTTCTAGAGTTGTCAGCTTCCTTTCCCCCTCAATACTGCTCTGGAAGGTGAGTTTTGTAGACTTACTAAATGTTTGTTAAACTAAATTGCTGATTGACATTTTCCCAAGTAATACCGAAATAAAATTTTAAAAGCTGTTACTATTTTAGGCTTTATTTAATGGGCATGAAATACTGATTGACAAAAAAAGTAGTGGAAAGACAATACAATTTGAGGGTAGAAGTGACAAAGAGTTGGGTTCTAGGCCTGGCTTTGCAAATAACTACTTCTGTGTCTTAGGGAAAGTCAGTCCTACTTGCAGTTTTAATTTACATTTGTTGATTACTAATGAGGTTGAAATTTTCCTTATATGTTTATTGGCCATTAGTATTTTTTCTTAAAAGACTTGCCTACCCTTTTCCTTGGTTTATTTTTCAATTGATTCTTGGTTGTTTTGTCTTCTGCCTCAAAGAGGAAAACTATGTGAATAGTAAGTCTTTTTACATTTCAAATTTTTAATCTCAACTTGTTATTTATTTGACTTTTTTATAGACAAAAATTTTAAATTTAGTTAGTTATACTTGTTCATCTTTTCCTTTAAAGCATCTTGATTTCAAAAGGCCTGCTTCACCTCAAGATAATTATAACTTCTGTATTTTCTTCCAGTAGGTATATATGTTTGAAAAAATATTTAGTCCTTTAATTCCTCTGGAATTTATTTTTGCATATGCTATAAAATAGAGATTCTAACTTTGTTTTCCAAAGAGGTAACCAATTATTCAAAAACAATTTATAGGCAAAATGTACTTTTTCTCCACTGATATGAAATAAAATTTCTTCAAAAGACAATTGTATACAATGTTAAGGTTAAGTATCTTTATTTTGTGCTGTTTTGCCCCATAATGGTTCAAAATTTAAAAATTATGCTCACTTTCTAGTAATTTTCTTATATTTTAGTTGCTCCTTCCCTTGAACATCACTGTGCTATTTCCTTTGTTTATTCTGATATTATTTTTAAATATAGAAGATCCAAATTCATAAAAATATCTCAGCCTCAACTTTTAGCAGCATTCCCATACATAATTAATACCAGATTTTCAACAATTTTGTTATTTGTCTTTTAGGTTTCTTGTTTATAGACTAATACTACATAATTATTCTTGTTTTTTCTACTAAAAATAACTAACAATTTGGGGTTAATAAAATAACTCGAACTTTAGAACAATGATTTTCTCTGAAAGAATTTTATTCGTTCTATATCTAAAGAATAGGAGGAGGGGAACCAAACAAGAAGTAGAAACCAGAATGAACAAACCTTGTCTATGGAAGTTGGTTAGAATTTGGTTAGACTTGTGTGTGTTCACTTATTGTTATTTTTAATTGTTTAGGAAAAAGCCAAAACAATGTTGGAGAACATGAGAAAACTGGAGAAAGAACTATTCAAAGAGATGGAATCAATCCTTCAAAACAAGCATCTTGATGTGGATAAAATTGTTAATCTTTTTTCTCAGTGTACAAAAGATGAAATTCGAATTTATAAGTTAAATACTAGTTCTTAATTATCATCTAAATGGTCAACAATCTTCTTCAAAGTCAGAATCAATCATCGTGGTAGATGATATGAACCTAGTGTGAGCAGATATGATTATTGTTTAATAGCTTTCAAGTGATAGCTTGACTATTAAAACTGCATATAATTGCTGAAATATCAAGAACGAAAATAACATCGAAATTAGACACATATATTATGGGATAGCCAGTTGTTACATCAGGTACTGCCCTGTGTTATTTTTTTTTTGTACTACAATAACTTTTTACAAATCACATATTCAATTCTGCATAAAGCATGAAACATTAAAATAATGCATGGATTTAAGTTTATTATAATTATGTATTGTCCTCAATTACAAAAAAGAAATTTTTTCTTTAATAATGAAAAATATTGTCTTATAGTGAAGTTTTGTGTGCTTCAGGCAAATATTAACCAGCTCTAACAAAGTGTTCCGGATTTACACATTAAGTCTTATTATAGTGTACTAGAGGCCTGGTGCACAAAATTCATGCACTGGAGGGGGGGGGGTGTCCCTCAGCCTGGCCTGCACCCTTTTGCAGTCTGGGATCCCTTGGGGGATGTCCACCTGCTGGCTCCCCACGAGCGGGCCTAAGTCGGCAGTCAGACATCCCTCGCACAGTCCAGGAGCCCTTGCTCCTTACTGCCCGCCTGCTCATTGCTCCTTACCACTTAGCTCACTGTTCCGTAATGCTGCTGCAGAGGCAGGAGAGGCTCCCGCCACCGCCGCTGCACTTGCCAGCCGTGAGCCTGGCTTCTGGCTGAGTGGCACTCCCCCTGTGGGAGTGCACTGACCACTGGGGGCAGCTCCTGTGTTGACCGTCTGCCCCCTGGTGGTCAGTACGCATCATAGCAACCGGTCATTCTGCTGTAATGGTCGCTTAGGCTTTTATTATATAGATTCATTCTGAAAATGTACTTTTATTAAACTCAGATATGCTCTTTGTCAAGATTTGGATGACCAGTGAGCCTTTAGCTATAATTATGTAGCATTTTTTTGGCCATACTCCTTTGTAGGATTTCATGTTAATATTTTAGAAGAGTTTGTGTGGGAGATTAGGAAATGGAATAGAAGATACCATTTCTGTGTCTCAAATTTCTCTCATCCTTTATATCTTTTCACTCTGAAAACAGAAATAGGAAGGAGGTAGTAAGAATGAAATAGAATTATTAGTGTATTATGAACATTTTAATGTATAATATATTGTGGACATTTATTATAAATGAGTAATAATCTCTGCCCAAAGTTTATAAAACTGTTAAAGTTACATTGAGATTACCAAGTAAGGGTCAAAGTTGCAAATATCTATAATAATAAAAGCATAATATGCTAATTAGACCGGATGACCTTCAGGACAAAGCTGGGGCTGTGAGGGGAAGCCCGGGTCCTGGGTGTCTGCCGGTGGCCGGAGGGAAGCCTGGGTCCCGGGTGCCAGAGGGAAGCCGGTGCTGGCAGCCGGGGGATGAAGGCCTACTCTTGCATGAATTTCCTGCATCGGGCCTCTAGTAAACAATAGAAAAACCCAACTCAAAATAACATTATATATTTATTGGTTTCTAGAAATGTCCATTTTAGGATTTTGATTATATCATCTTATTTATTAGTCACTATCATTGCAACGAAGATTGTTACTAAAGTAGTGGACCATCTACACTAATAAAAGAGAAACATGGTAATTAGCGTACGACCGCTACCCTTTTCATTGGCTAATCAGTGAGTATATGCAAATTAACTGTCAGCCAAGATGGCGGTTAATTTGCAGGCACTG